TTAACGAAACATATTTGTTTGTCTCTAAGACCGTTCTAGGCTGATGTCCTTGTTCAAAGTTAACGAAACACATTTGTTTGTCTCTAAGACCGTTCTAGGCTGATGTCCTTGTTCAAAGTTAACGAAACACAGTTGTTTGTCTCTGGGACCGTTCTAGGCTGATGTTCTTGTTCAAACTTTAACGAAACACATTTGTTTGTCTCTGGGACCGTTCTAGGCTGATGTCCTTGTTCAAACTTAAACGAAACATATTTGTTTGTCTCTAAGACCGTTCTAGGCTGATGTCCTTGTTCAAAGTTAACGAAACACATTTGTTTGTCTCTAAGACCGTTCTAGGCTGATGTCCTTGTTCAACGTTAACGAAACACAGTTGTTTGTCTCTGGGACCGTTCTAGGCTGATGTCCTTGTTCAAAGTTAACGAAACACATTTGTTTGTCTCTAAGACCGTTGTAGGCTGCTGTCCTTGTTCAAAGTTAACGAAACACAGTTGTTTGTCTCTGGGACCGTTCTAGGCTGATGTTCTTGTTCAAACTTTAACGAAACACATTTGTTTGTCTCTGGGACCGTTCTAGGGTGATGTCCTTGTTCAAACTTTAACGAAACATATTTGTTTGTCTCTAAGACCGTTCTAGGCTGATGTCCTTGTTCAAAGTTAACGAAACACATTTGTTTGTCTCTAAGACCGTTCTAGGCTGATGTCCTTGTTCAAAGTTAACGAAACACATTTGTTTGTCTCTAAGACCGTTCAAGGCTGCTGTCCTTGTTCAAACTTTAACGAAACACATTTGTTTGTCTCTAAGACCGTTCTAGGCTGCTGTCCTTGTTCAAAGTTAACGAACCACAGTTGTTTGTCTCTGGGACCGTTCTAGGCTGATGTCCTTGTTCAAAGTTAACGAAACACATTTGTTTGTCTCTAAGACCGTTGTAGGCTGCTGTCCTTGTTCAAAGTTAACGAAACACAGTTGTTTGTCTCTGGGACCGTTCTAGGCTGATGTCCTTGTTTAAACTTTAACGAAACTAAACGACCTTTGTTTTCCTTATTTTTTTAATGTGCTGAAAATGTACAATGCAATAAAAAACATTTTTTTTTATTAAATTCCCATATGTTTGGATCAACAAAAGAAGCCAATATATCTTCTCTTAGGTCCATAATTAATTTTAAATAAAATGCACTTCTTCGGCTGTCATAAAGAAATCAACCTCTTTTTTTTATTTAAAAAAATAGAAAAAAAAAGTGTTCAGTTTCAGTGTAAATGCTTATTTATATTAGGAATTCTGACACCACGTTAGCTCTTTTTCTTTTTATCTTTTTGAAGGGGATGGGTGGGGGAGGAGGCGCGGTTGGTGGGGGATTGTCTCTTATTAAAACCCTTTTTTTTTTTTTTTGCCCTTCAATCTTTCAACACAACAGTCATGGACCTTGAACCCATGTGTGTTGGAAACCTTTGCATTGCTAAGGGTCAAATATTTCATGTTAGAGTGACGCCCCCTTTTAAAAGGTTTCTCCCGTACATTTATAATGTAAATGTTAGTTGGTTGTAACACCCATAGAAAACAAGCATAAGTGTCTGAGCTAAACTTAAATTTAATTTACAATTATTTAAAAGAGAAAATAAAACCACGTTGGCAAAATAGTTCAAAACATGCAAGAGCCAGAAGAGAAAGCTCAAAGAGCCGCAGATTGCCGACTCACTGCCTCAATGCCACCCACACACCCCCCACCCCCCCCCCCCCCCCCCCCCCCCCCCCCCCCCCATTTTGACTCAAAAAAAAACCCACACAAAAAAAACAACAAGCGATTAATTTGCTTTGCTTCAGTCCGGAATGATGTCACGCATGCACGCACTTGAATCCGGACTAGGAAACTAAATACATAGAAATGGATCAAATTGGTTTGAATGACTTCAAGTGACTGGCGACAAGTGTAATGCCTTCATTCGACGCCACCATGGGCGGCATCAGTTGTGTGTGTGGGGGGGGGGGAAGTGGTATTAGTCTAAGCAGCCTTTTTTACACTGTCACTTTAGTAAACCTTGCAATTTTGAAAATTAGAGAAGATGGCCTAACGTTTTTAAAACAAACAAAAAATTTCTTTTAAACAAACAGACATTGGACTGTTATACAACCCGTGCCGCATTTAAGTGATCGATAGGGGACTACTTTTATTCTTTTTTTCAGAATCTGCCACTTGGCCCATTCACTCATTGAGTTTCAATAGCCATAACCACAGTGAGTCCTTCATTTAGGCTAATTATGGTGTAATATTTTTTTATTTTTTTTGGTGGTGTAGGGGGTTGTGATGTTAAATAAGGTATCACTTCAGTGTCAGATGTTTCTCGGAAAGCACTGGGCAAACATTTGTTTCCTAAATAAACAAAAACAATATTTAAAAAAAAAAACATCGTCGAATCTTAACCCCTGCGTGAAATGTTTTGGCTGGCGTTTAAAGAAGAGTCACTTCAGCATCAAACTAGACGTGTCAGTGAATGCAGAGTCTAAAGTAGAGACGGAGGGATTCTCGGTGAGGCGTCCGCTTCAAAGGTAAAATGTCAGTCAGTGAGGCTGTTCTCGTCATTCAACGCTGGTAAAATGTCAATCAGTGAGGCTGTTCTCGTCATTCAACGCTGGTAAAATGTCAATCAGTGAGGCTGTTCTCGTCATTCAACGCTGGTAAAATGTCAATCAGTGAGGCTGTTTTCGTCATTCAACGCTGGTAAAATGTCAATCAGTGAGGCTGTTCTCGTCATTCAACGCTGGTAAAGTGTCAATCAGTGAGGCTGTTCTCGTCATTCAACGCTGGTAAAGTGTGTATCATATTCTTTTTATGCTTGATATGCAATTTGTTTAGATTGAGGCAATTTTTTTGTAGGCATACGAGGACGTCTGTTTATCCATTGATGTCCGTGTGTAACCCGTGCATCCATCCATGGATATATCAATGAGCACTAAAATTAAAAGCGTTTCATGTCACTATTCATATACATATATATGTATTGCCTGGTCTCGCGATAAATCGTTTTTAAAATGTTTTTTTAGACTGCCCTTAACTATTTCATTGGTAGGATTACTTTCATTAACAAGATTTATCAATTTTTGCTCCATGATTGCTTGAAGCGCTTAAAGATGTGTACATTAAGGACCAAAAAATTGCCGTTCCCATGCTCTCAGCCGAAGACACTTGTCAGAACATAGTCTCACATATTATGGCTGCAAGCGAAAGAAGCCCGTTAACCCATTTTGCTCTAAAATTGTACACTCTACACCAACATGGCGCGTTTTTACTTGAGTTAGTATCACAACACATTGCAATTCGTTCATTGTTGGTCCGCCACTCTTCCAATAAACGCGCAACACCAGATACTTGAGACTCTACAGTACTGGGTGCTTGGCACTCTACAGTACTGGGTGCTTGGCACTCTACAGCACTGGGTGCTTGGCACTCTACAGTACTGGATGCTTGAGACTCTACAGTACTGGATGCTTGAGACTCTACAGTACTGGGTGCTTGGCACTCTACAGTACTGGATGCTTGAGACTCTACAGTACTGGGTGCTTGGCACTCTACAATACTGGATGCTTGAGACTCTACAGTACTGGGTGCTTGGCACTCTACAGTACTGGGTGCTTGGCACTCTACAGTACTGGATGCTTGGCACTCTACAGTACTGGATGCTTGGCACTCTACAGCACTGGATGCTTGAGACTCTACAGTACTGGGTGCTTGGCACTCTACAGCACTGGATTGCAGCTCTCTGGAACACAAAGAAGCTGATTTATTCCGATTCCTCACAGAATGACCGGACGTCGATCAACCTTTTCATTCCCAGTGAGGCCAAGAGGAAGCTGTCCATCCCAGTGCACTACCAGGGCTCTAACAGTGCACTACCAGAGCTCTACAAGTACACTACCAGGGCTCTACCAGTGCACTACCAGGGCTCTACCAGTGCACTATCAGGGCTCTACCAGTGCACTAACAGGGCTCTACCAGTGCACTACCAGGGCTCTACCAGTGTACTACCAGGTCTCTACCAGTGCACTACCAGTACTATCCAGTGGTACCGATTATTTTTGAAATTCGTTATTTACATGGTGTATCCACAAAATACACCACTTTTATAATGTATGAGCAATTGTATCGCTTGTTTTCCAATCAATGTGTATAGACGACGATGAGAAGAAAAAAAAAACTAAATAAGATTGAATTGAATAGGAAATGTGCAGAAAGATGTTATTCTTGTTTTATGAAAAGTTTGTCAGACAATACACTTTTTAAACTTAGAAAATTTGGACCACCTTAACATAGTATATGAATATACAAGAACCAAGAAAAGATAAACAAGTAAAAAAATTATCGATCTGCTTTTGAACTTGCATTTTCCATCACTGGTGCAGAACACAATGACAAGGATCCGTTGGCACGCCATAGACAGTGTAGACACCATGGACGGCCACAAGGCTCCAGTTCTTGTTCTGATGACGCAAGGATTTTTACCCACTTCTCGTCTCATGTTCCTTTGACGAAAATGTCGTAATGATACGTTCATAACGTGCTGAAATGATAAAATTGTTTGTTTCGGGGTCTAGTTTTGACATACTCACCCTGTTTATATATAATAGATACGATTATAGGTAGAATTTAGTTGTACATCTATTTACTTTTTCTTGTTTCGTTATTTTCTAATTGATGCATTTTGTACATTTATACCACTACATAATTGTGTATCCACAGCAACTTGGCGAACAATCTATCCTACTTCGGGTGACGAATTTTTGATCGATTTCAGGCGTTGCAGATCTAGAGATCTGAATATAATCTGACCTAAAGATCCGGTGAGTTGTTTCGCACATCACGATGACAGAACCATCGCTACCCGAGGCTGACAATGTCGCGATGCGACAAGTATTGAATGTCACAGCACCATCTTTCAATGTCTCGATCGTCACAAACTTCAGCAACTCCTCCGGCGAATTCGACAGTCACGAGAATGCGAAACTGAGGCTTCTAGAGGCTAATGACGAGGTGGCGTTGGAGCTGCTGCCCGTGATGCTGTTTCTGGGACTGCTCAGCATCCTCGGAGTTGTGGGCAATGGCTTCGTATGCTTCATCTTCACGCGCAAGTTCTCCAAAAACTCCCAGAACCTTTTGATCGTTCTCTTGGCGGTCTTTGATCTCCACACTTGCGTTCTGACGATACCCTACGAAATAATCGATCTCAGATTCTACGTCTACTACATATTCGATACCGACGTCATCTGCAAGGTATTCAAGTTCGTCAACACGTTTTGCAACGCGGGGTCGATACTCGTTCTGCTGGTCATCGCCGTGGACAGATATCGAAAGGTCTGCAAGCCTTTAAACAGCCAGCTCCAGCTACAGAGTATTCGAATCACTTTCATCTTAATTTTTGTCATTTCGGCCTGTTACTCAATTCCGATATTTTTCCTGTATGGTTACAGGACAATCCAATCAAATATTATTCACGGGGCCAAAAGTCGAGACTGCTCCACACCGGATGGAATCGATACCCTCTATCCGACTGTGTTTAATGGAGTACTCTTTTTAACATTCGTTATCATATCCATCGCTCTCATTATCATGTACAGCAAGATTCTCGCAGAGGTCAAACGAAGAAACAAGCATAAAAAGAGAAATCGGCCATACAGAATCAGCTATGGTGACACGAACAATATTTCACAGGGCTCAGACGACGATCAAACCATAAAGGAGGTGACGCATGCAATCTCTATTTTAAATGGGACATCCACCCAAAATTGTGCGGACGTGAAGATGTTGGGGGCCGCGAATTTAGGAAATACTGAAAATGAAACACCGATAATTGATGAAAATCAACATTTTCTATCACGTGGAGCTTTAGCGGAGTTAGACAGTAATAACAACAAGAGTGCGTCAAAATACATTCCTGGGATGGCTTCGTGTGCCTCTAGCATTCAGTATCTGAGTCCGGGCTCTCTAGAGAGCAGAGTTTCTGTTCAACGGTCCGTTAGCGACGTCACCCCGGAAGTGCAGACCCAAATGGCGTGGGTCTCACAGGGCGCGTGCGCAGGGAAAATGACTTCCCAGGCGGGTCTCATGCGCGGTCGCAGCGACCCGCGTCCAAAAAGTGAGACGATGATGGTAAGGCAGCTCCCGGGTTCAGGTCTCCCGAATACAACCGTAAGAGATTACCTTGCCGGACAGACGCTGGTGCAGGCGGGCGAAAGATCCGCGTCGTCGAGAAAGCGCCGTCGTGCCAGACAGCAGACGACGCTGGTGGCATTTTCTGTGACCTCCGTCTTCGTCCTGAGCTTCCTGCCTCACCTGACCCTCATGATCGCCAAGCTGGTCATCTTCCCTGGGTTCGACCTCGACCTCAGGGGTGCGGCCTTCGTTGCGTACAACGTGTTTGTGAGGAGCTACTTCGTCAACAGCATGTGCAACCCGTTCATCTACGGCATCCTCAATGCTCAGTTCAGACTGGAGGTCCAGAGAATTCTAAGGAGCGTTTGCTGCAGGGCGTGATCAAAAGAATTTTTGAGTTTACTTCCATATTTTTTTTTTTTTTAATATAACGTATTCGACGATGGTGTCAAGGACGTTTTAAAGGAGTGCATAAATTATTTGTATTTCAAAAAAATCTAAATATATTTCAAAAAACTATATCCATTTAATATGTGTAAAAAATGAATTTGATCTTCTGTTGCAATTTAAGAATTTTAGAGGTATTTTCTGTTAAGGAGAATAATTATTTACTGCGCTGAGTGTTCATAGTAGTGTCATCAACGGTTACATCTGTAGTGTTTCATTGAATAATAAAACTGAATCTTATATTTATTTTAAACACCGTCTTATGTAAACTGTTGAGATGGTTTGAATGAATTCATTCAACTGGACGTGTAAAAGTATGAAATTATTAAACTGTATACCTATGTTTTCTTTGGAATTTGAAAGTTTAAAGGGGGTTAGCTATTATAATAGCAGAAATCACAGCAAAACATAAGCATTTACCAGTTGCCTGTGTGCATCAAACAATTTGTTTTAATGTACCTGATACTGTTATCATGTTCTCATTTTTTTAAAAATAATTGTATATTCATTAAAGGAAATGCACTTGCTTTACGATGAACCATGATGCACATTTGATAATGTATTTAGCGATAGATGAGGCGGCTCTCTGGTGGATGAGATGTGACTCTTTCAATGAAGAGATAGGGCTCTTTGAAGGAATATATGGGGCTCTTGAAGCAATAGATGGGGACCTTTGATTGAATAGATGGGGCTCTTTGAAGGAACATATGGGGCTCTTGAAGCAATAGATGGGGACCTTTGATTGAATAGATGGGGCTCTTTGAAGGAACATATGGGGCTCTTTGAAGTAATAGATGGTGACCTTTGATTGAATAGATGGGGCCCTTTGAGTGAATAGAAGGAGCCCTTTGAGTGATTAGATGGAGCACTTTGTGTGAATTATTGGAGTCCCTTTTGCGTGAAAAGATTGGGCCCTTTGAGTGAATAGATAGGACCCTTTGAGCGACTAGATGGGGCCCTTTTGTGTGACTAGAAGGAGCCCTTTGGATGAATTGATGCGACTCTTCGAAGGATTAGTTGAAAATTAATGAAAAAAATACGTGTACCTCAATTTTCTATTACTTACTTCAGGTGAATCAAATTTTCCAAAATATGTTTTTTCGAAGAAGATTAACGTTAAAATAACTCTTTAAAAAAAGATTTAAAAAAAAAAGAGTTTCCTACCCTATGACAAATAACTCCTACATTCATAGTTTTTTGTTTGTTTGTTTTTTGTTGTTTTTTTAAAAAATTTTTATAATTGATTTTTTTTTTCTTCAGTTTCTTGTGCAATCTTTTTTCACCTTGACGTGAATTTTTGTTTTACATATATTAACAATATTAAAATGCATAAAACTTAAATGTGTTTCCTAATATTTTCATGGGAAAATAGTTTGTTCAATAATAAAGCACGGCTTTCAAGAACACTTAAATATGAATTTGATTTTTTCTTTAATGTCTCGTGTACTGTTGTTTTACGCATGTTGAATTTTGGGAAAAAAATCTTTTAAATTTATTCGCCGTGCTTTTTTTTAATGTAATTGATGTTTATCTACATTTATTTAAACGTTTATTAATTTTTATTATGTACATTTATGCTTGGAATAATAAAATAAAATTTGTAGCGTTGTTTTTTTTATTGACAGATTGTTTACTTTCAATTAATGAGTGGGTTCTATGAGTTTAAAGTAGGGCAAATGGAAACTTCAGTAGATTTATAGACCTGAATTCGGCATTTAGCTGACCCGATTAAGAAATATGGGAATACAGTTACTCCATAACACCCCCCCCCCTCTTAAAAATTTTTTTTTCTCCCTCTTCTATATCTTAAGGGTCCACGATATGAGCTGTCCCGATATAGAAACATGGGAATACTGTTACCCC